TTTTTTTCTCAAAACGGTACAATAAAGTTGCAATTCATCCATATATACGTATATTTTTTTTTCTTTCCTTCGTCACTGTATCTCTTTCACTAAACTGACAGAGAGTGTACAAGTAAAATATATTCTTTCTTTCACTTCACTGATGGTGTCTTGCGTTCTTCTGGTAATATAAACAAAATATTTGGAACGAGCGCACGAGAAAAAAATGCTCTATTTGTATATGGTATTCTGGCGAAATTGAACTATTGATAAAATTGTTGTTTTGAAAATATTGCATATAATTTTGCATAGCAAAATTAAGTCTGTGGATAATTGAAATTAAACAACAAATAGTACATAGGGATTGATATTCATTATTTTTTTGAAATAGTATAATATTTTATAATGAAGTTATTTGCAGTTTCTTTGAGTAAAGGTGTGGCAAGTGAGTTTGAAATCTAGCTTTAATAATGGGGCCATCGAAACATTGGTAATTGATGAGATATTTTCGTCGAATTTTCTTTTCGTTTTGAAACAAAACTATCTATTTTTCTTCAATGATGGGTGCATGGAGACATTGATGATCGGCTGGATTCTTTTTTTTGATTGAATTTCCTTTTTTTCCCGTTTTCAAAAACTATCTTTTTTTTAGTGATGGAGACATATGGACATTGATGATTGATCAGATTCTGTTTTTTTGATTGAATTCTTTTTTTCTTTTTCAAAAACTATCTATTTTTTTAATGATGGAGACATGAGGATATTGATGATTGATTAGATTTTGTTTATCGAACTTTTTTTTTGATTTGCAAAAAGTTCGTATGTTCTTCGATGATGGGGACCTAGCAATTTCAAGTGTTTGGTCAAGTTTTACTACGTAATCGTTTTTTTAGTTCAATCAATTTCTTCGCATTTTTCATTAGAGAAACAGTGGATACTTCTTTCAATTTGAATGATTAATAAATGTTTTATCGACAGTCTCTTTAATCTGTTTTGATTGTTTTCTTCTAGGTTTTTCCGTTTTATATGATTTTGTTTTTATTGCATTATCCAATCAGTACTCAATGAAAACATAAAGCAGAAGGTCAATGTCAGACGATGATTGTATACGATTGTATATGCTAAGATGCGATCGTAAACGATAGGCATATATCTCCATATACGGAGCTTTGTACAGTACACTTCTGAAACTTCGTATTTTTTTACGACCTCCATATACGGAATTCGTTTTGCATCGTGTTCTCCCGCATACGATCACCATGAACGGGAGCCGTGTACGATCTGGGTTTATCCCCGTTTATCTCCGTAAACGATCGTTTACGATCTTGGGCGTTCGACCTGGGCTTGGACATGTTCAATTACGAAATGTTGCAAAATTTTTTGCACATTTAATTTTTAATAAAGCTATATTATGGGGTGTATGTATTCATTTGTAATATCATATAATATTTATTCTTTTCTTTCTAGGTACTTGACTCCTTTTATTCAATTGAAGAAGGGACAACACCATCAGCACGTATTTACTTCAAGTATTTACTTTTGGAATTATTGCAATTTATTGATTAATCATCATCATCATCGTTTAACTGATCCGTAAGTTATTTTAAGATAAAATAATAAAAGTTAATCTCTTGTTTTCTATTATAGATTATTAACAGTTTCTTTTTTTTTTTAATTAAATTTTTTTCTTTTCTTCTCATTGTATTGCCCTATTTTCGGTTAGATTTAAAAGATCGAAGACATTATTTGATTGCCCTTTCAGATAATTAGTTACAAGAAATTGATTATCAAATGATTGAAGAACAACTTCAACCAAATTCTGCTAGTGGTTCAAGTGCACTTGAACATGATGAAACATATCTTTATTGTCGAGATACATCCTTAATTTCTTTTAACATTATAAATTATCTTTTTTCGTTCACCATCAACAACAGATAATAATTCTAGCAATACATGCATATTATTCTCATCCAATTGAATTAAATATTTCTGATCCATTACCATTAGATGTTGCTGTTATTGATGCATCAATACTTCTTTATAGTACAATGTTTATTTGTGTATCAAATAAATATCGTTTAAATATGTTATAACATTTTATTGATATTATTTAACAATCAAAAAGATATACGACAAGAAGCTGTACAAGCTAATATATTTACAACTATTTTAATAGCATTAAAAACTTTGGCTAGAACTAAACAATCTTCATCAATCAATGATGATAATGTGAATAAATCAGCATGTACATTTGTTATGCAAACATTAAGTCATCAAAATTTCATCTTATGTTGTGCAGCTGATGAAACTCTTGATCGTTTAACACAAGTTATTTGTGATGGACATTTTGTTGCTGATATAGCACAAATATGTTTTGATTATTTGAAAGAATTTCATGATGTTTCATTTCGTATAGGTTATTCATTAGTACTTGAATGTTTACATCGTTATATTGATGGAATGAGTACAGGATAATATTTAAATTTATCTCTATCAATATACTTCTTGTACTTGAACAAGATCAATCAACATCAATTGTTCAAGTATGAGCATTACATGCTTTAGTATTAATTGTTGATTGTAGTGAACAAATGTTTCGTTGATATATTGAACCATGTTTAAC